TAAATATTGGACTTATGGACTTGATCTGGCCTGGGCTGGAATGTTTTCTCAATATTCAATTGCTCTTGTATATAAACTTTTTTCTTATACACATAAGTGGCTCTATGAATTTGTTTCTCTAGTCTACCCAGACTAACACTCACCCTCTCAGACAGTGGTTCTCAACCTTCCTAATGCCACAACCCTTTAATGCAGTTTCTCATGTTGTGGTGACCCCCAATCATAAAATTATTTTCATTGCTACTTCCTAACTGTAATTTTCCCATGGCTATGAATCGGGTGACCCCTGTGCAAGGGTCATTTGAACCCTAAAAGAGTCGTGACCCACAGGTTGAGAACTGCTGCTCTCAGCGCTCAGCTCAAGTAGCACTTCCACACATCAAGGAACTTCGGTTACTGGTTTGGGAAGTTACTTCTTTTCTAACGCAAACACTATACTTCTTCTTCTTAGCCCTGTTTGAGCTATATATATATATCCAAGAAATGAAAATATGCCACAGTCTCATTTTTTGCTCAGTTTAAAATATTTTCTAATGTCCCTTGAAAGTTCCTCTTTAACCTCATGTATTATCTAGAAGTTTTCCAAGTTTTTGGACATTTTCCAGTTTTATTTCCATTGATGATTATAACTTAATTCCATTCGATCAGGGATATATATTATGATTTCACTTCCTTCAGATTCGTTGAGCTTCACTTTCCATGTCAGGGTATGGTCTACCTGGGTGAATGTCCCATGTGTACTTGAAAAGTATACACATTGGGGGTGAAGTATGGTATAAATGTCAGTCAGCGGCAGTTTGCTGACAGTGATGCTCAGTTCTTGTACATCCTTCTTTATTTCCAGTCTACTGGTTCTGCCGATTACCAAAAGTATTAAGGTCTCCGATTATAATTGTGGCTTTGCCTGTCTCTCTTCCCAATGCTGTCAGCTTTTATCTTGAAGCTGCGTCCACATGTAAACACTTGAAGGGTGTACACATTTAGATTGCTGCCTTCTTAGTGAATTATTCTTTTAAAATTCTGTAATTCCTGTCATTTTCCTTGTCCGGAAGTATACTATGATATTAATAGTCTCCAGCTTTCTTGAGAATGGTGTTTATAAGGTAAATCTTACTTTATCCTACTTTCAGCCTACCTGCATGATTGTATTTAAATGGGATTTCTGCTTCTCTAGTCTGGTCTCACTCACTGTGCTTTTAATTTGCATTTCCCTGGTGACTTACTTCATTGAGTATCTTTTGACGGGCCCATTAGTTTGGCATATATTTTCACTTTTCAAATGCTTATCCAAGTGTTTTTGCTCCCTTAAGAAACGGGGTTATTTATCTTTTTGTTTCTTGGGTATTCCAGAGTTGTTCTTGATCTGAAGTAAAAGTGTGTCATGTCTCACCATTACGTAAGATAACAGCTTTAGGTTCGCATGTTCTCTTCTATTCTTAGTTTGTCAATATTTTTTTCAATCATAATTGAGCGATGAAATTTGCCCAAGTGCCTTTTCTACATCAATTGATGGATGGTATTTCTTCTTAGTTCTGTTAACAAAGCACATTGCAGGCACTGATTTTCAACTGTTAAATCAACTTGATTTCTGGCATGAAGTCCTATGAGTCCCTCCCTGAAGAGCCTGGTGGAACAGTGGTCAGGGTCAGACCGCTCACCCAATGGCCAAGGGAGAAGGATGAGGCTTTCTACTCCCCGAGAGAGACAGTTCCAGAAATCCACAGGGGCAGTTCTACCCAGTTGTAGAGGGTCTGAGTCAGAATTGGCTTGATGGCAGTGAGTGTCGTGTTTTGTAGCCATGAAACTATACTATCCTTCTTATATATTGCTAGATTCACTTTGCTAATACTTTGTTGATTGACTTAGTTTCTATATCCGTGAAGAGCATTGGTTTTCTAGTTTTTATTTCCTGTTATTCTGCCAGATTTTGGTATCATGTTTTTCTTGACCTTTTAAACTGAATTTAGAAGTATTATCTCTGTTTTCCTTAAGTATTTGAAGGAATTCATCAGGGAATTCATTTGGGCCTAGAGTTTTCTCACTGGGAGATTTAAGATTATATTTTCGATTTCTTTAACAGAGGCTATTAAAATTTTATTCCTTGGATGCTTTAGTAAATTGTGTTTTTCAAAGAATTTTTGCTTTCATCTAAATTGTAAGGTGCCTTGGTGGTGTAGTGGTTCCAAGTTGGGCTGCAGCTCGCATGGTTGCCAGTTCAAAACCACCAGCAGCTCTGTGGGAGAAAGACTAGGCTTTCTACTCCACAGTTACAATCTCGGAAACTTGCAGGGGGTCACTATGAATCAGCATTGACTTGATGGCAGTGAATTTGGTTTTGGTATCTGAATTGTAAAATTTGATAATATAAACTTGTTTACAATATCTCCTTACCTTACTGTCTGTAGAATTCTGGGGCACTGTCTTCATTTTCAAGTTTGCTATTGATCATTTGTGTTTTCTTTCTCTCTCTCTCTTTTAAAGTTTATTGATTATTCTTCCTAGGCATTTCTTAATTTTATGAATCTTTCCAGAGAATTAACTTTTGCCTTTTGGCTCATTTGTCGCTTATTCTCTGTTGAATTAATTTCTACCCATACTTTTGTTATTTATTTTTCAATTGTCTTTGGACTTCTTTTTCTACCAGCTTGAGTGGTTCTTTTAGATAATTACAACTTTAACTTTTCTTCTTTTCTAATATACACATTTAAAACTATACATTTTCTATCTAAGTACCAATTAAACTGTTTTTTACAAGTAAATCAATTTCAAAGAGTTTCAAATTAATTTATATTCTGGTTGGTAAATATATTCTCTTGGGAACCACTTTTAGGGTGAAGGCAGTACTCCTTATCTTGAGTGCTGGTTAGAGAACGTGTACATCTGTCCAAAATGCAATGCTCTGTGTTCACTTGAGACTTGAATAATATACAACAACCCTAGAAGGTAGCAGGAGTACTATGTACAAGGAAAGCTCTGCAATTTCTCAGAACTTAACTGAAGTGTCCAGTGTTACACACCGAACAACTGATGAAGCAGGTCTTTAACCCAGGCCGACCACACACAGACACATATATGACGGCGGGTCACACAGTGTTGCGATAAAGTCATAGAATCCACTTTTAAACAAAGACATCAAGATGTAATGATAGTCTCTTAACACACCCTCCATCCAGGTCTGTACACTGCGGAGGGCTGTGTTTTCATCTCTCTAGCATTTCCCTTAGGGAGTTCTGCACACTTTGGTTCACACCACATCAAATGGCAGCATTGGGCATCCTCACAGGTTGTGTTTCTTTTTATGTTTAGTGGTTTTCGTTTTCGTTTTGTGGTTTCTTTTTTTTTTTTAATGTTTTGTGTTTGGGGAACAAAAAGAAGTCTGAAGGGGCGATATCAGGGGTACAAAGTGAATGGGATAGGTCTCCCAATACAATTCTTGTGGGACAGCTCTTGCTACCTTTAAAGAATGGGCAAGTGCATCGTTGTAATGGAAAAAAATTTTCAATGCAACTTTCCTGGCCTTTTTCTCATCAATGTAATTTTCAGTTTTCTTAGAACTACTTCCCAATAAGCTTTTGTGATCACCCTATGTCCTTCAGAAAAGATTGTCCCTCGGGAACCCTAAACATCCATCATCATAACCTTCTGATCTGACCTCTCTGCCGTCACGTTAACTGATCCGGCAGATCCCCTTGGAAACCACAGTTCTGGTTGGCCCATTTTGAAGTTAGTCTACCAAGATGAAGTCATGTCATACGGAGAGACTTTGTCTGCAGCCTTCTACTGACTGCAAGACAAGTTTCAACACGTTCGTTTGGGATAAACCCATGCATATGCACACTGGAGTCCTAAGAGCAATACCTGTTGACTTACCCTCTTGTATTCCCCCTCTCCTCCTTTCTTGACTATATTGTTATCCAACAGTTCACCTTTACAACAACAGTAAGAAATCTACTCTCTATTTTCCACATGCATGATGTACGCCTGGCAGTAATGAATGCTGAGATGCAAGGGGAGTGGAATCCTGCCTGGCAAGATGGTTAAAGGCATGACTTGGCTGAGCCATGATTCTTAGTGGTTTAGCAGTATGTCATGATGTGACCTGGCCATTTGTGATGATGTAATTTGGCAGTTATGTAAGGATGTCATCATCCTTCATGTTGTGATCAGATGTGGTCATCTTCCATGTTCACATAACAACAGTGTTCACAGAATCACCTATGTGGGATATAATAAGACTTTTCCCCAGCTTCTCTCCCCCAAATACATGTCAGACCCAGGACACTGCTTTTCAAGTTATCTCCCGGAAGGCGCCAGCCATCCAGAGCAAGCAGACCCTATTGTCTGTCCCGCCACAGGTGGGGCTCACTCCCTCCTGTTAGGAACCGTGGATTGCTTTCCTTGGACGCTTAGACTAAATCAAGTCTCCAGCTCAAGGATAATCAAGTTTAGGTTCCGCCCATCTTGTCACATGTATACCCCTAGTCCCTACCCTTCTATTACATGTACACCCCTAGCTCATCCCCTTCCTGTCAGGCACATGCTTATTGTACAGCCCCTTCCTGTGACGTGTGGTTACCTGTATTCATGGCCCTAAGTACATATGGACCTTGGCCAGAAATAAAGAGAGAGACTCTCCTGCCCTCTGCCCATGGTGTGCGCAGACCTGGCTGCTGAGATCATGGCCATCCAGGAGGTGAGCACGCTACCATGAAATGTGTCTGACTCCTTCATTTTACTCTCTCTTCTGTCTCTCCTATATCCTATGACTTTAATATAACCCTTACATATATTTAACTGTGCAATTGCGCTTACCGAACCCGTGATAGGGTGAGGGGCTGGTTTCCCCACACACCTAGTCTCTGGAGCCCACCCATGTGCACAGGGAGAGGATATATAAAGAGGGAGACAAGGAGACACCAGGCTGCACAGCGTAAATATGTGGCATTAAAGCACGGCCTTCTATCTTGGTATGAATGTATTTCATTCTTCAGGAGGCTCACCTTATTACCATCAAACAGACAGAGGCGGACATGTCTGCTAAGCACCTGGATGTTCGTTCCCGGGAGAGGGATCATTTTACAGCTCCACAGTGTCAAGACCAACGACACACGGCTTGTCCTCGACTTAATCTGAAAGAGAAGTTTGTTGTGAAAAAAGGTTTATTTTTATGAATTACAAGACAAATGAATTTTCCAAAGCAAGGGAGCAGTCTTACATACCTAGCCAAGAAAAGTTCCAGTAGTTTGTTTGTTTTAAAGAAAAATTTCAAATAGTTCAAATAAATATCTCGCACATATTTATTTTTAAAATATTCGTGCTTTTATGTGATTACAAACCATGGTGTTGGAAAGAAAAGCCAGTAGCTGAGGTAAAATGCATGAGCTGGCCCCTGAATCACTACACATTCCAGACCCAGGTTCAAGGTTTACCGAGCAGACCACGGATGTTGTTTCAGTTCATTATCCTCTCCTCATGGTCACGATGCATGGCCCACTCACTCCCTGGGTTTCCTGCTCCCCGCCCTCCTCCTTCCCTAACCCTCTGAGCTTGGTTCTTGGGGAAATGTTGCCCCTTTGATCTTCCAAAAAACAAAAAGCCCTCACTACCACGGCGCCAAATCTGACGCAGAGCGGTGATTCTCTGGAGTGACTGATCATCCTAACATGGGATGAATTCAGTGCCAAACCTGAAGGGTGTCCAAGTACGGGACCCATCAACCTCTATCCAACCAGGAAGCCTGGTCTCTTTTATGATTGTGGGTCGAGCTCCACATTTTTCTTCCAGTCTCTCCAGGAGAGACTTGTAATTCGATCCTTTTTGGAGCAGTTGCTGGTGGTGGCGGGGCACCTTCGGATTCTTCTGGTCTCATGCTCAGGAGTGCTGATGTTTGCATGGTCCTGTAGTCCACTGGCCTGATGGTTTCCGTGCCTGTGAACTTTCGTCACTCCTCGTTCCTCTGGATGGATCCCAGGTTCATTCTGACGATTCATTTTCATTCATAGCATTTGAGTGTGATAATTAGGTTTTGTGTCAACTTGGCTGGAGCGGGTTCTCAGTAGTCTGGTGATTGAGGCCTCTCCCGTGATGTGAACGAACATCTAATGGAAATGGGAGGTGCTGTGAGCAGCCATGCAGTTGTGGGAAGGCAGAGTGCAACCCTTTGCTCAGGTCGCAGCCCTGATAATGTTTTCTTGGGGGTGTGCCCTACTTTACCGATGTAAGTAAATGCTGTGCAGAACTTCCTCACTTCTTGCTGGCCTGGATCCTGCACCTGGTTCATCAGCCTCTGGTTCTTTGAACTTGAGTCAATGGCCTTCTGATCCTGAATGCTGTCAGAGCCTACCATCTGACCTGCTGACCTTGGGTTAATTCAACTCTGGATCCATCCAACTGTGTTCTCCCTGCATCTTGGTTCATCAGCCCCGCGGGTACCAGAGTCAGAACAAGGCTCCAGCTTGACATCTGACTCATGGGCTTGAACCAGACTGGACTTTGCTCTTTCTACAACTGTGTGAGCTGCTTTCTCAATATAGATGTCTTAATTTACATATATACACATCACTGATTTTGCTTCTCTAGAAAGCCCAGCCTCACACAATTCATACACTGCATAAGGTACCACAGCATAATCACCTGTCATTAATATTAACTCTTCTTTGTTCTGATGCTAAGCAGTTATTTAATTATCCTGGGCATTTAGTTAGATGTTCTGACAGAGAAAATACACTGGCCACTTGAAGAATGTATTCAGATCTATTTCAGAGGTATATTTTAGTTGTGGATAAATAAATTGGTATTCCGATTTTTAAATTATAGCTTCAATTCAAGAACCTTTAGATTCTGCTTTATGTTTATATGCCCTTTCGTATAAAGATATTATGCGCCACCCCCCCAAAAAAAAACACCTGTAAAACAATCTAATGATTCACCTTTATCAATTTAAAGAATCAGAGACGAACCACCCCCCCCCCCACCCCGTCACAGTTCAAACACTTAAGTGTCATTTATTCAAGGGCTGTGACCAAACACTGCTACAATAAGTACACGGTTTGTTGTCTAGAGTGCAGCCGTCGGCTGACATGTGGCTTCCCGGCGAGGCTGCAGGACTCACCGTGCCGGCCTCCGTGTCCCACATCAAGTCTTTGAAGGCCAGTTGTGAAGGCGTGAGCTCTGGTTGTAAGAAGTAACTTGCTCGAAAGTGATTCCCTGAAAAAAACAATTTTTTTTTTCAAAATTCAAAGCACCAAACCCATGATAATATGTCACAGATTTCAGAAACAGAAACTCCAGGACGTCATGCCTTTATGAGGAGTTCTCTTTTCTCTCCCTGCTGGGCACATCCGCGTAGATTCGCACATGGAAACATCAGGAAGCACATGTAGCTGGGCTGAACACAGCATAAGAAAGATGGGACAGACTTTTGAGAAAATGACCTCCCATGGTGAGGTTTCTTTTTCTTAATGCAGAAGTCTGCAGCTGCCTTTTGGACATGTTAGGGAAAAAATAAAATCATTCGTTTCACTTCCTAATACAAAAGCATTCTTATACTATTCTTTCCTATTTTCGTCACAAAGAATCCTTGTTACGAAATCATGCATTTGTTCATTCTCTCTTCTCTGTGTCAGGTGCTGTGCTAACAGCTAGAAAGCCAATAGAGCGGCAAAGGGATGTGGCCCCTGTCCTCACTGAGTGACAGCGGAGTGAGAGAAGCCATTGAAAAAATAAACAAAGTAGACAAGTAAATAAACAAAAGAATAGCTGGCTTAGATGTACAAAATGTACAAGAGTAAAAGGGAATTACATTATGGAAGGAAAAGCATCTCTGAGAAAATGGAAATTACCCTAAGACACTAAGGATGAGAAGGCTACAGAGCCAGCTGTCCCAGCACAGGGTCCCTAAAAGCAGTTCTTCCACAGGTAACTCAATGTCTCAGGGCACACAGATGGCCTCCCCTCTTCCTCCTTCTTCAATATGAGCTTGACACAAAAGCTGGCAAGTACAGGGGCATCAAAGAATAAATAAGAAAAGCCAAAGTGGTCAATGGATGCGACTCTTTGGAAAAATCTTACTGTTCAGAAGTGGGGCTGGGGAAGGCATGCCCCTTCCCTCCAATGTCAAGTCCCAGAGGTTACTCACATCACCATCATTCTCTCGAGTCCCAGAGGATACTCACATGGCCATGCCCTTCTCCAAATGGCAAAACCATGAATCAGAAAGACTCGGTCCTGCACACCCTGAGGCTGCCATCTATCTACCTGTGACTGCTTTTACCTCAACTGTTACGTGGGAGAGAAGTTTCTCTCACCGTCTAGGCCTCTAGTAGAGAAGCCAAACCTAGAAGCTCATCAATACGCAGACAATGGAGAAATTTACAGCTGCCTATAAGAATGAGTCCATGCATGTTTATCTCTTTGGGGAATGTCCTTGGTATGTGGTTAAAGAAGCTTGATTTTAGAAAAGGCCAAACAAAAACCAACAAAGCCTCTCTCTGGATAAGAATGTTGGCCAAGCGTGTGGGTGGAAGAAGCACACCAGCCTGTGCGACCATGAGGGATCGATGGGACCAGGGGTCAGGCATCAAAGAACAGAACATCCTATCATTGTGAATGGGTGGGGGGTGGTGGTGGGGGATGCAGAGTGGGGACCCAAAGCCCATCTGTAGGCAACTGGATATCCCCTTACAGAAGGGTCTTAGGGAGGAGATGAGCCAGTCAGGGTGCAGTGTAGCAATGATGAAACACACAACTTTCCTCTAGTTCTTTAATGCTTCTTCCCCACCACACTATCATGACCCCAATTCTACCTTACAAACCCAGCTAGACCAGAGGATGTACACTGGTACTGATAGGAACAGGAAACACAGGGAACCCAGGACAGATGAACCCCTCAGGACCAGTGGTGAGAGTGGTGATACCGGGAGGGTGGAGGGAAAGGTCGGGGGAGAAAGCAGGAACCAATCACAATGACTACATATAACCCCCTCCCTGGGGGACAGACAACAGAAAAGTGGAAGCAGACATCGGTCAGTGTAAGACATGAAAAAATAATAATTTATAAATTATCAAGGGTTTGTGAGGGAGGGAGGAAGGTTGGGGGTGGGAAGGGGAAGATGAGGAGCTGATACTAAGGGCTCAAGTAGAAAGAAAATGTTTTGAGAATGATGATGGCAACAAGTGTACAAATGTGCTTGACATAATGGATGTATGGATGGATGGTGATAAGAGTTGAAAGAGCCCCCAATAAAATGATTTAAATTAAAAAAAGAAGGAAAGCATGTGGGGAAATGTCCCGCTGATGGCAGGAGAGGGGTCATTTGAGGAAGAAAGCAGTGGGGACCAGGAATTAACCGTATTGCTTCTTTCTAACTACCTCACATTGCTTTTACAACTGAGACAAATCCCAGGCGTGTAAAACTCAAAGACAAGCTCTATAAACGGACGACTCAGACTAAACACTGACTGAGATATAAAAAAAGAGAACAGGTAAGAAGGCATCATTCTATTTTATCAACTAACAGTTCACTCCAGATCTACAGACACTATCTCTAAGATCCCTTCTATTTCTAACATATATAATTTTAAAATACATGGCTAAGAATTTTTTCAATCAAGAGAAGTTTTGAGAGAAAAATAAGAGACAATTACCTGGTTAATACTTATATATGCGTACACTTATACACTTTTTACATATGCGAGTCAAAGTGCATTTGTAATGAAGAAATTAAAAATAGATTTGAAATCTTTTCAAATTTTCTGTTATAAACCTAAAGCCATTTAGTAATCCATCTCTATATCGCTTCACATAAATAATTTTTTTAAAAAGTTTTATTTCTACCAGGGTCAGATGATACTGGTGAAAAGATACTTGTTTTGCTTTTTTTAAACCCAGCTTACAGGACAGAGTAGAACTAACTACTTCATAGGGTTTCAAAGGCTAAAACCTTTACAGAAGTAGACAGCCTCATCTTTTTTTTTTTTTAATCATTTTATTAGGGGCTCATACAACTCTTATCACAATCTATACTTACATCAATCGTGTAAAGCACATTTGTACATTCATTGCCCTCATCATTCTCAAAACATTTTCTCTTCACTTAAACCCCCGGCATTAGGCCCTCATTTTCCCCCACCCTCCCCGCTCCCAGCTCCCTCATGAGCCCTTGATAATTTATAAATTATTATTTTGTCATATCTTGCCCTGTCTGACGTCTGCCTTCACCCACTATTCTGTTGTCTGTCCCCCAGGGAGGAGGTCACATATAGCTCCTTGTAATCGGTTCCCTCTTTCCAACCCACTCTCCCTCTACCCTCCCAGTATCACCACTCACACCACTGGTCCTGAAGGGATCTTCCGCCCTGGATTCCCTGTGTTTCCAGTTCCTATCTGTCCCAGTGTACATCCTCTGGTCTAGCCAGACTAGCAAGGTAGAATTCGGATCATGATAGTAAGGGTGGGGAGGAAGCATGTAGGAACCAGAGGAAAGTTGTATTTTTCATCGTTGCTACATCGCACCCTGACTGGCTCATCTCCTCCCCGAGACCCCTCTGCAAAGGGATCTCCAGTGGCCTACAAATGGGCTTTGGGTCTCCACTCCACACTCCCCCCATCGTTCACTATGGTAAGACTTTTTGTTCTGATGATGCCTTATACCTGATCCCTTCGACACCTTGGGACAGCCTCATCTTTGTCTCCTGGAGAAACTGGTGGGTTTGAACCATTGACCATTTGATCAACAACCAAGCTCTTAACCATTTGTGCTCTTTGTTTTGGTTGTGACAGAAACATCGGACTTCAACCTTGATTGCTTGACTCAAACTGTGAGGTGGCTGGCAGATACACCTCACCTTCCTCCAGGAGCTGGGACAGTGAGGAAGGCCGGAACCCGGCAGGAACGGCTCCCATTGTGGTTAACACATCAACAGTGCTTATCTGCTGAAATAAGAAACCGAAATTGATTTGCTTGTTTTCATTCATGTTTTCTCACCTCTATGATACTTTTCTCCTTACCATCAGAGAATGGATAGTCCCTCACCAAAACCCCACACAAATGTTTATGTCTTACTGGAAAAACACAACAATTTGGTTGTAAACAAAGTCATGAGAAGATGCTACCACTGACTCCGGGTCTCTCTCTATAGGACCTCACTCCCATGCAGAGACTAGGGTACAGAGTTCAGCTCTAGACCAGCTGTTTCCCACACACCTCTTACCAAAATGAACCCACTCATGTCCCCATCTACAAAGTGGCACCACAGGATAGATGAATTCATATGATCAACTCATATGCACTGAGGAGTTAATGGCTTTCATATGTATGTGTCCATATATACATACACAAGCATGTCCATATACATGGACACAGGCATGTGCATATAAGTTATAAGCAGAGTGAATGGTGAGGAAGGACATGGACTTAAGTGCTAGCGGTGGTAACTTACAGAGGCCGGACTCTGAGAAAGTAGAGGGAGAATGTGCATTTTGTTACATAAGTTTTTAAACGATAGAATTCTGGATGATTTTTACTTTTTTGAGCTTTGAGCATTGTTAGAATATTAACTGCATAGTGACCTTCATCTTCATCCAAATGCGAGAATCCAGGCAGAATAAATGAGGTGTTACCAAGCCCTCAAGTCCTACCATGTATGAGATTATCTAGTCTGCTAACCCAGTAAAATATTACTTGGAGGATGGGCTTACAGAGATAATGAGATAAACATCTCATGTTCTCTACTTTGGATACCCTTTTTGCAGATGTCCTGGACTCATCATGGGTCCTGTGTTGAGCTGCTAACTGCACAAGGGCATTGGATCAAACCCAACGGCAGATCCCTGAGAGAAAGAGGAAGCTTTTTGTTCACGTAAGCTTCGGTGGAAATCCAAAGCAGCAGTTCTAGTCTGTCTTATTTGGTTGCTACGAGTTGGAATCAATTCAATAGCAGTGAGTAAAATATCAGTGATAACTTATTTAAGATCTGATGCTGTCTCCTAAAATCTCCATCCTGGTTTGATTCAGAGCTTGACCAGAACGATACGGTAACAAGATACTATCAACAAGGCAGGAGAGACCAACCTCTGAGACAGCTTTCTGAACAGCACTCCAGTGGGAATCGGTTCTAGGGAGACAAAAGAGCAGATGAGTGCAGGGAAGTCTGGCTGGACCAGAGGAGGTACACTGGTACAGATAGGAACTGGAAACACAGGGAATCCAGGGCGGATGATCCCTTCAGGACCAGTGGTGTGAGTGGTGATACTGGGAGGGTAGAGGGAGAGTGGGTGGGAAAGAGGGAACCGATTACAAGGAACTATATGTGACCTCCTCCCTGGGGGGATGGACAACCGAAAAGTGGGTGAAGGGAGACGTCGGACAGGGTAAGATATGACAAAAATAACAATTTATAAACTACCAAGGGCTCATGAGGGAGGGGGGAGCGGGGAGGGAGGGGAAAAATGAGGACCTAATGCCGGGGGTTTAAGTGGAGAGGAAATGTTTTGAGAATGATGAGGGCAATGAATGTACAAATGTGCTTTACACAACTGATGTGTGTATGGATTGTGATAAGAGTTGTATGAGCCCCGAACAAAATGATTTAAAAAAAAAGATGAGTGCAGGGAAGCTTCATAAATCAAGGGCCACAATATTGAATCATCAATAAGTTCTGAAAGTCTCCAGGTCTTTCGTGAAAGCAAGGCAGAACGAAATCATACACCAGAAATAACCACAAAATTAAATTCATAATGCTCTTTAGGTAAAACAATAGTGTGAAAAGCACTGTTCTCCAGGCACAAGTTGTCTGCATTCCAAGAGGGCCTCCAGTTACACAAGTAGCAGTCAAAATAAATAAATGTCCTACACCTATTGTGATATCCTCTCAATCTTTTTGTCACCTTTGTTTAATGCTTGCTCCATCCACTGTTTCGTCCACAACCTCCACAGCTTCTTCACTGCCTTCTCCACTTGATTCTTGGTCCTTTTCTTTCATATAGGGCTGACAAATCATGGAAGTACAAAGTGCTTTACATCAAATGTGAACGTCAACCATAAAAACCCCCAATATTTTCAGAAAACAGACCAAGTATAGAGGAATTTAGTATATGAGCCATATAAAAAAATGATTGGGTATTAAAACCCAACTAATAATAATAAAAAAGAAACTCTAATTCATAGGAATTTATAATGCAATACATATGTAATAAAACACACACAAACAAAATTAGTGGGGAAAGATGCTCAATATGTAACTAATAAGCATGTTATTTGGAAAAATTACAAGGACTGAGGGGAAGCTTAAGTTAAATGCAAAATCAGATGTATAAAATATGGAAGTATTCATAGAACATAATCAGGAGATGAAGAAGCTCTTCGGAATGACTACATCAAACCCAAACATCATATGCAGGAACACTGACAGGTAAAAGCGAAATTAAAAAATGAACACATCTGGAAGCAACACAGAAGATTGTCACAGATGTCCAAGGACGAGCACATGCATATGAGTCGGCATGGGCTCAATGGCTGTGGGTTTGTTTTGTTTTTGTGTATTACGATACTTCAAAGAGTTGTATAAACTAATAAGAAAAATGCTTTTTTTAACCCCTTAGAAAAATAGCTGAAAGAACTGCAGTGTAAACTCACAAACAAATATAAATGATCACAAGGAGGATGAAATGATATCCAATCTCATTAGCAGCACAAAAAATAACGCAAATAAAAACGCTGACGAGGCTTGGTGTCGGTCACAGCGACAAAACGGAAGGTGACTACTGAGGCCCGTCAACACGGGCGAACGTGCACACGCAGGCACCCTTGCTGGCCTGGGCAGGGATGTGCGTGGCAGATAGCTTACGACAGACATAAAGCCTTTGTAAAATATAACATATAAAATAAGATCTAATGGTGTAAAGCCTGTATAATAGTCAAAGAGTGGAAACGTTTTTAAGGAGCAAAAAGAAACACAAACAGCAAAGACTAACTTCCAAGTACGTTCTGGGAACAAGGCCTTCGTCTCCTCTGGCGTTCTTGGCGGTCCACCAGCCGTCGGGCTTCTTTGTAACCACAAGAAGAATTTCTCCTTTCTAAAGTAATAAAATGTAGAAAATTAAGAAAAATAAAACTCAACTGTCATGCACATATTTCATTACTAATGATTCAACCCTGAAGAAAGGGTCTATTATTTATTCTAATTTTTTATCAAGAGCTTCCCAATACACAACCTCTAAATTAAATGAGACTATAAATGAAATTTTTCTTTTGGTTACTTAGTTATTGTAACACACACTCAAGCCACATATTCAAATAGGAATCATCACTTTCAGAAGCCCAATACTTGTGCAAGACACTTTCTGATTTTAATTATTGAAAAATATCTTTTCAGAAGCAGTATACAAACTTTTAAACAATCTAATTCCATTCAAGTCCTATTGTGAAGCAAAAAATATTTGAAGTAAAAATATTGAACTAGCAAAATGTGCTCCTCCTAATGCACTCGATAGAAGCTCTGGTAGCATAGTGGGTTATGTACTCTTTAGGCTGCTAACTGCAGGGTCAATAGTTTGAAAGTACCTGCCGCTCTTCAGGAGAAAGAGGAGGCTTTCTACTCCTGTAAAGGGTTACAGTCTCGGGAACCCACTGGACAGTTCTACTCTGTCTGTTGGGGTGGAAATGAGTCTGAATCAATTGAAGACACTGATACTTCACTAGGTATGTTGTGCGTGACACTTGCCCATTTAGGGAAAATACAACGGCTCTTTGAAAAAGAATTTCCACTCTGGGCAGTTCTACTCTGTCCTGGCATTCCAACAACAATACAGTGGAAACATAATGATTTCATAAGGATGAAATCAAAGTCATATGAAATCAAGAGTCAATCCAAAATAAAAATGTTTTCTTACAAAAAAAAAGAAAACACAATTTCCACCCCCCAGAACATTCAAAAGCAAACACTTAAAATATACATTATTGTCAACATGGATGACAATTTCAAGAAGTAGTGGGTGGGGGGAAGCCCTGGGAACTAAACAATCCACTTAGCTATAATATAATCAGCTATAACTGATTGACATATTTTATTGTCAATCAGTTACTAAACTGTGAATCTTCATAAATAGAAGTGTCAAGATTCATAAACTCGTTAACATCCCTCTAACAGGAAACACAGCCTCAAACCAATCTCTTTTAAGCCTCAACTGTATTCTCCCATCCCACCAGCAACTCACGCACAGCCGAATCAATGTGGGTACAAAGGAAGGGAGCAGGTGAGTTCCGCATTAAGCCCCTTCCACAATGAGGCAGCAAGAAGAGCTGCTACCTACCAACAGCGTTGAGGTAGTTCAGGTTTATGTGCCAACCTGGCCAATAAACACATGTGGGATTAATGGAAGAGCAGAGAGATAAATGGCTCAGTGAGCCTTGCCTTTCTAGTTCTAGGGTATCTTGCTTTGTGATGGTCGGACCAGGGTGCAGCTGCCTTGGCCGGTTCCCTGCTTCAGCTGGCAAGGCTCACTTCCTGGGAGACATCCCCGAGGAGAAGCTGCATGGACCTATCCTGATGTAGCCCTGGGTGCCGGAGCAAGTGTGGAGACCCCTGCCAGCGCTGAGATACTTACATGCTCACTGATTCGGCTTTCCTCCTGGAGTCGGCATCACTGCATGTGTTTTGTGAGATGGAGGAGGACTTTGTAGATCATGTCAGACATATGGGCTAATATTGAACTTACGGGCTTGGACAGCACTGGGTTGGGATGCTTTTTTAATGTACACGTACCCTTTGTATAAAACTCTCTTACACATATGGGTTTCTGTGGGTTTGTTTCCCTAGTTTCCCTAGACTAACATAAGCATGAAGCCAGGTAAATTCATCCAAATAAATATATGCATATGACACTCAAGAGTAAAGGGCCAAGTTTTACCCCTAAATTAGGAAATGATCAGTATCAGCACTATTTTAAAGAGAGCATGAGCTCTTTTACCATCAGGTGACTTTCTTAATAGGCTCTCCTGTTCCTATGACCTGGTAGATCCTAATTATTACTTAGTTAATCTCAACAGAATTAGTCTTAAAGAACTTAACACCTGAACACGAAAGGCCAGAATACAAACAGAGTTTTCTCGTTCCTCTGAGGATGCCCTGCCTACCTTAAATGTAAGATCTCCGACCTGCTGGGCAGCGAAATCTCCAACAGCAACATATTCTTCATGGATCGCCCGCTTGGGAGGTTCATTTTCCTGTGTGTCTTCTTCTGCTACTCTTTCCTCCTCCCCGCTTTCTTCACTATCTTCCTCCTCCTCCTCTTCATCCTCCTCCTCCTCTTCTTCACCTTCTTCAGCAGAATTATCATCTTCCGATCCTTCAGTATGTGTCCCCGTTCTACACAAAATAATCCTCTAAGATCACTGGTAATACCACTCAGAAACAAACCAAGTATAACTTTTACATAGAACTGATCCAAATTTGGAGCAGGCAGATCAACCGATACGTTCTACCAGCTAGCTAAGAATATGTGCTTGAGAGACTGAGCTGAGAGCGAGCTATCGCAGCTGAGGAATGCAATGCTATAACAGAGCAAGTCCAGGACTTGACGTCAGGAGACCTGAATTCAAGTCCTGGATCCATCGTCCAGCCGATGCTAATTGAGCAGTATGCACGTGGTTAGAACAGGGGTACCGGTTTTAAGTTCTGACTCTATCGCCTCTTCTTCATGGGGCGGGTTTGGGTAGGTCTCTTTTCTTCTTTCCAGTGCTCGTTCGTAAAGTGAAGATAATGATAGAGCCTGACTGATAAGGTTGTTGGGAGCATTAGAGGAGTTTCAACTTGCAGAATATTTAGAACAGTGCCCGCCCACAATATGCTTTCGATCAAAGCCAATACTGCTGTTCATCAAATTATACCTCAGGTTCCATGGCGGGCTCCCTGGCTACAAAGTTGAACCAGGCGCTGTCCTGTCCTCCAGGAGTTTATAGTAAGAGAATGTGGAAATGGAAAGTGGTTCAGCAAGAACTCCAGTAGGGGTACACAGAGGAGACTAAGGAAACACACCAGTGGGGTGTCTAACTCAGCCTGCACAGGGTGGGGTGGGGGCGGGTCAGGAAGAGCCTAATCTTAGGAACCGAAGGATGAGTTGGAACTGATTCCGTAAAAAGACAGTAGAGAGGAGGAAAAGGGAAAAGGAGGTTCAAGAACAAATAATTTTAAGTCAGGCCAGGCTTGGAGGAATTTAGTGATAGATACGGCTAAAAACAGGTAGAGAGAACCAGACCACTTGGACTTTATATTTAAGAGGACGTAAGGGAGGGGTCTAATGAGATTTGCCCAAGAATTTTCATTTTGGTCTCTTTTCAGTTCTTCTTTACCTATATACTCAAGTATAAGCCGACCTGACTAAAGTTTTGAAAATTTTAGTTTGAAAATTTTGAGTTGACTTATACTCGAGTATATATGGTATCTTCAAAAAATTCTTCCCAATTCACAAACTATGTCTATGTGTTCTTATAAATTCTTTAGGCTATTTAAAAAAGTTGTTAAGTCGCTCTTGTTCAGTAATTCCCACATTTGTAACATCTGAGTTTCTACTTTTTCCCCCCTCTTGATTTTAAAACATTTTCCAGCTGTTGAGCCTAAACACTGAACCAGATTTGGAAAACGAGTTCTTAGTCAGTATAGCATCAGCTATTATATTTGGCAGCTTTAGGCAAGTTATATAATAATTTTTAGGCATTATAATTCTCCAAGTTCACTGTCGGTTACATAGTAATACCATTTAGAAGTCTGTGTCAGCAAACGTCATTATCAGGGTCACATCTGGGTCTTTTCTCCCTTCAACGTTGAGCCTTTTATTTTCCCTGCTCTTTTGCTTTTTATCTTAATTTTTATTTATTTCACTTTGCTTTTTATTTACTCTATTATGCTGGACACTGTAGATCAAACATGGTAAAGACTTTGATTTATATTATTGTGGAAGTTACATAAGCTGTCAATGAGTGAAGGGGTAGAGTCTAGCCTGTCAATCAGATCATAGCCAATGAGGCAGCATGGCCTTCTCCTGAGGATTCTAGGAACTCCTGTCTCCTTCCCTGGAGGCGGGACACACTCTCTGCTTCCTCTTCCTGTTGACAAGCCACATGGAGCTATGCTGATTGCAGCCAGAACCCTGGAGCTGGAGGAGTCACATGGAGACCCACGCCAGCGCTGAGATGCTTCCACCACCACTGGATCCACAAGACTTTCCACCCATGGCCTGTGATCTTCCTGGATTAGCCATCATTGTATGTGCTGTGTGAGTCTACACAAGAATTTATGAACTAGTATCAGACATATGGGCTAATATTGGACATGTGGGCTAATATCAGAGTTATGAGCTAATATTGAACTTAGGGACTTGATCTGGACAAGGTCAGGCTGTTTTCTTAATATACAATTGCTCCTTGTTCTTATTCCTAAATCATGGTCCTTACTCTTGGGATTGGGTCCCTATCCCAGCCCATGGGCTTCCAGTGCTCTCCACAAAATTACTTGAAGCATTTGCCAAGCTCTTTCCTCTAGTGCGGTACAAACTCCAATGGTTTTCCCAGCACTGGAATCTCTTTGAAGCAGTCAGCCTCCCCTCCTGACGGGCACTTTAGTCAGGTCTTCTGGGGTCAGGTCTAGGTACTCCAGAGCCCATTCAGGTTTGTGCTCTGCAGCCTTCTTCTCATTCTGGCGTCCTGCCTCACGAACGGCAGGGCCCCTAACAACTCCAAACGTGGAGTTCTGCCTCCTCAGACCCATCAAACTGCTGCCCTCTACTAGATATCGGCCTTCTTGTACTGAGCACGCTCTACTGCACTAAAGGAAGGGACGTGCGCCCCTCTGTGTGGGAGCCTTCCAGACTTTGCTACACGCTTGCTGACCTTGACTTGTAATCTGCTGATCCTCATCCTGAGTTTTGCCCAGCGACTTCCTTAATAAACCACTTCACCACGCGTATAGTCTGCTAAGAGTTCCGTGTGGCCATTGCAACAATGATCAAATCAAAGAGAAATAGATTGTTCCATGGAAGTGAAGGCTGGGGTCAAAATTGGTAAAAAGGTTGGAATGTGGAGGTATGCCCGACCTCCACTTGAAAGGAGTCAGCTTTGGGCTGATCCTGATTTGCATTAGCCCCGAGAAAGTTAGGTCAGTTCTCATGTCACTGCTACTACCGGGTCAAGACTGAGGTGCAATGCCTTCAAGTCCCTGTTTTGCATATTTTCTTGGGATGTCCTCACTGTCTCAAGGGGGCAGGTAAATCCGTGTTGCGCTTTCATTCTCAGTATTGGAAACCAGTGGACATTTGAGAATTCTCACTCCTACAGCCCGCAGCATTTTCCCCAGGACACCGGATAATGAGGCTGAGTAGTTGGTGTTTACTGTTCGGTTCTGCACATTGGGCTTTTTTATACTTTATATTCTTTTGTCAACGAATTGTTATTAGGTGTCCTGAAGGAGCTTGGGCCCATAATAGAAAAGATTATTAACCTCCACCACGGACGAAAAAGAATATGCCTCTCTGCCTCAAAATATTTATTTATGAGAGGAGGAACCACGCAGGTAGACAATAAAAATATTTTCAGTTTACACACCAACATTAAAGGCATCACCCTTGTTATCTAATGTCTATGTTTCAGATCTCTTTCGCATTGTCCCAGCAATCACATTAGAAATTACTTGTGAGCAGGGACCATGGCTTAACACGTCTCGCCTGGGATCTACACATTCTCTTATATACAATCAATAAATATTGACTGGTTAGAGTGTTACGATCACTTAGATTATATTAAAATAAAAAAACACTGCTGTGTGTCTTTATTCGGATATAAATACTCGCACTGCTGGTGATACAATGTCGGAAAGAAAGAAAGAAAATCAGAAAAGGAGGACACATACTCAGTTATGTGGTCTTTGCTCACGGCCACAGCGAGCTCTTGTAGTTGGTGGGTTAGTGTTTCCAAAAGACTCTGCTCCTCCGCTTTTCTCTGATTGTAGTTGCCCACTGGGGCAGACTCGTCAGCCTATCGGAGAATAGAGACCCGTTTCACTGAACTCTCCGTTTTGGTTTCCCATTATATTGAGTTGATAAGGACAAAACAAAACAAGAGAGCGTTATAAAGTCGAATAAGTGCTAGAAAATAAAGCCCACATCTACAACCTGGGCCTGTCTACTTTAGGGAAGTGAGGGTAACGTCAAAGTCACGTAGGAGACTGCAGTGGAGCGCACACCCAATGGGGACATGGAACTGTACCACGTGCGCGGGGTTCCATTTTCTTGGTCAGTACTGAAGACCCTCCAGAGTCCATGAGGGATACGTTCTAGACAGAAGGTTGGTCTAGGTGTCAAAAAGAGGGACAACGGTTGGTCCCAAGTCCTGCCACTTGCTGGGGGTGAGATGTTGAGGAAGTCGCTTTACCTCTGAGAGCCTGCTTCCTCATCAGCGGACCAGGGACAATTGGGTTGTAACCTGAGGGTCAGTCGACTTGCTAAGCTGAAGCATTTGGGGGCACTGGAGACATTCAGAAGAGCCCTCACTGAGCACTGGTCTCAAACGGAATACAGGAAATGCATGTACTGTACGGTAGGAAGGTAACTATTAGACACTTTCCATTACCAATGTTCCGTGTGACCCTGAATAGCTGGCTGAAGCTCATATTCATCTTGCTAAAAAAAAAGTCTCGGGGGATTGCCAAGAATAAACTCTAGTTTCTCTAAGCCCTGCAGCGCCACTGACATTGCAACGGCAGTTGATATACAAGGCTTCGTTTCCACTCATCCTCAGGCCAGACTGAATGCCTCCCTACAACGTAATTCAAATAAGCTACTCTCAACTGAAAAACATAAAGCACAGTCAACGCTAAAATTAAAAGAGTTTCTTCCTGTTTATTCTCAGTGCTGGGTGAGTTCACTGACGCTGCATTTCACTTGTGTACTTCAAGTCCTGGCTTTTCTGCTTATCAGTACGGACTTCATAAGCCTGGGGAACCAGCCAGCATGCTCTAAGGTTAGATTAGATGTCAGCACTAACATAAACCCAGGGATTTACCAGTGCTAACTGTGATCACACTCAATGAAAGTATCGCATAAGAATCAGTTTTTAAATAATAGGATTATCTGTTAATACTTACTTTGCTTAATTTTTGAAGAGTGTTTTTATTTTCATCTATTGCATGTTGTAACTGGATACATCTAAATTTTTAAAAGGAAAGAAAAAAACCAAAACCTTTTTCATCATCAGAACTAGAAAGTTCATTTAGAAAATCATATATAGTCTCTAAGCAGGCAAAGCAATTAGCTACTTTATGAAAAATATTTTTTAAAAAAATACATGGAAATGCTTTTCTAGTGGCCCTTACAATAAAGCTAAGGGTACACAACTCTGGTAAGTGGGTCAAAGTCCTAGACACCAGTGAATGGAACTTTGGGGAAGTAGGTCTCCCTCTGCTGAGCCCTGGTGATGCAGTGGCTCCGCGTTGGGCTGTGATCCACATGGTCAGCAGTTGGAAACCACCAGCACTTTGCAGAAGCAAGATCCGACTTTCTACTCCCTAACATTGTTACAGTCTTGAAACCCACAGGGGACCCACACGAGTCAGCACTGACTTGAAGGCAGTGAGTCTGAGTTTGGGTTGGTGGCTGATGTTACCAGGCAAGCTAAAGAATCTGTCCAGGTGCTCCTACTCCTAACCCTTTCTCTTATAAAAGAGAAGGACAGGATGGAAACAGTGACATACAGCAGAAACATGCCATGTGAAGAGCTATCTGCAAGCAGCCAAGAAACGCCGAGGCCTGCTGGCCAAGCCAAACACCGGAGAAAGGCAGGGCCCACTTCCTCCTTCAAAGTCCCCAGGCAGCATCAATGTGGCTGAGACCCCGATTGGGATCTACTCCAATCTACTCCAGTGAGATAACAAACTTTTGTTCTTGAAAGCCATCCGCGGGCTTGTGATCTTCTGTCATGATGTCTGATGGACACGCCACTGTCACAAGCGACATCACCAACAAGGACAGTGGAAGATCAAACAGCAAGGCCGGCCCCTGAAAGCAGCATGAGTCACACAACGCACCTGGGAGAACCTGCCTCGGGATTTTCTGTCACTTGTTCTGACAGGTATCCTATTAACTGTGCCTACCTGAATGTAAAGTGCAATCTCCACTAAGAGTGCCAAAGTAGAAAACTCTTTACACACACGTGTGTGTGTGTGTGTGTGTGTGTGTGTGTCTATTGCTATCCAGCCAATTCAACACATGTCTGTTACCCTCCAGGATGGAGCTGAACTGCTCCCTGTGGAATTATATGTGAAGCTGACTGCCACATCTTTCTCCCGTGGACTGGCTGGGGGATTGGAACCTGTCCATAAGCAGTCAAGTCCTTACAAATACAAGGGTAAGACAGACAATATTGCTGCAAAATCGTAAACACTGAATAAAATTTTACTGAATAAAAATCTCAGAAGTTGCAGCTACTGTTTCTCAACCCAGCCTCCATCCGGGTCTCTGTCATGCTGACTCTGACCCTTCCCCACCTTCCACATACACCCAGGAAAATGACATTCGAGCATCCTCAGGGACTTCAAGTATCTTCCTTTTCACTGTCCTTTGAGTCTGAAGAGCAAAAAATAAGTCTAGAGAGGCAAGATCATGGTTGTCGGGTGGATGGAATAAGGCTTCCCTAGGAAATTCCCATCCCTTGCTTCCTTCGAAGGTGCACTGTCATGGTGGGGAAAAAAATTCCTTGAAGCAAGTTTATTGACATTTTTCTCACCAATGCAGTTTTCCATAAAACTCCTTCCTAGTAAGTCCGCATGACCATCCTATGTCTTTTGAGAAAAACATATCAAAATGATCCCTTTGAAATCAAAATCTCAAAACAAACCAGTCCCCAGCCTTCTCTCCCCTCCCCACGCCAAAAAGTCACCCTAACCTTCTGTACTGACCTCGGCCTTAACTTAGTTGGCCCAGCAGACTCCCTTGGACACCACAGCTCTTGATGGACCTCCTCTTTGAAAGCACCCTAACAAGACTAAGGCACACCTATCACAAAGCGAACCGGTCTTCAGCTATCCACTGATCATAAAGACAGGTATAAACATGTTTCGTTACGAATAAGCATGTGCCCGTATGAACTGGAATCCTAGAAGCAATGCTTTTTTATGTAGCCTTGTGAAATAAATGATCACCAATAATTATCTTCTTCGGGTCTATAACAAGGAGGCCTGGTGGACTGTTGCTATGTGTTGGACTACTAACCACAAGGACAGTGTTCAAAAACCACTAGCTGCTCCCCAAGAGAAAGATGCGGCTATTTAATCCAGTAAAGATTTAAGTCTTCAAAACCCTATATAGGGTCACAATGGGTTAGATTTGACTGAATAGCAGTGAAGGGGTGTGTGTGTGGCTGTGTGTGTGTAAAAGACTGTCAAAATCCTCCAACTCTTATTTTAAGACATCTGCTTCAGGATGAAAACTAAGCACATACTCACCTTCACTGACTGCAGAAACCCCAACAGTGACTGAAAACATTTTAAAAGGGAATAATCCTCAAACAGTGAAAGGGATAAAAGAGGGACCACCAAAGGATTTCAACAAATTGCTCTTCTAGAAGAGAAGAAGGTATATAGCCAGAAACCAAAACTAACACCCACCCACCCCCATCGAGTCCCTGCTAGCTCCCAGTGGAACTGCCCCTGGGGGTTCTGGGACTGGGACTCTTCAGGAGAGTAGGAGGCCTCTTCGCTCCCCCTTGGAGCAGCTGCTGGCCTTGGGGTTAGCCCTCCAATTGTAGCCCAGATGCCACCGGGGCTCCTAAGAGGGACACAATCTGCCAGGCACAAAACCGAAGATTTAAGTCAGCAGGCCTGAAGGACAAAGGGCTAATTACAGCCCACAGGGATGAATTATGAAGTTCTACAGAGGAAATGATGTGTACAAGGCAGGTCTGCTCTACATAATGACATAGCCCATTAATATGTAAATTATGTCTGTTAACATCTAAGCTGTGAAGGGTGTCATTAATCTCAAAGCCATCTAAGGTCTCTACATTATTGAGGGGGAGATAGAGATACTGATTAAGTTTAACTTTAGCTAAGGCCCTTTTGTAATAAGCCTTGTAACTTTTTTACAAAAGCCTCTTACAGGAAATCTGAGTCAGGTGGCTTCCAGTTCTCATACCTCAATTCTCTCCTCTTCCTCCTACCCCCAAAAGACTCTTTGAATGAATCCCACCCATGACCCAGGGGGAAGCACAGCTGCTGGAGAAGCTTCGTGGACACAAGAGTCACAGCCCATCCTAGTGTGGTACCGGTGCTCCTCAGGCTCAAGGCTTTGTCCACGGATCTTTACTCATATTTACAATAATGAGAGTACCCACGAGCGCTTTCTAGAATAGCCAAGCAACATGGTCCCTCCCGCCCTCCCTCTTCAATAAGACTGATAAGCAAAGACCGCCAGGCACAGTAAAATTTAAGACTAACCAAAAAAGACATTTAAAAAATTTAAAAACTAAAACCCAGGGGAAGCAAAGGCAATTCAGAAAACATAAAATAACTTTTAAAACAAAACAAAAAAACTCTCCTAAATCACAGGGACCTAAGGAAATAATCCATCTGGTTGGCATCTACACTACCACCAAGTGCATTCTGGCACGCAGCAACCCTGCAGGACAGACTAGAAGTGCCCCTGTGGGCGGATGAGACCTCATGCTTTAGGGGAGTACAAAACCTCACCGTCCTCCCACAGAGCGGCTGGTGGCTCAAACTACTGACCTGATGACCCACCCCGGCTCCTATGCGTGGCATACACAGAGTACAAATAAAGGTCGGTGGGCTTCTTTATTTTTAACATTGACAGTTCTTTAGCCTTCCAAGATCTGGAAGGCTAAATGTGGTTGGAGATGGATAACTAAGAAATACTTTTTTTAACATTCTGGCCATCTTCATTCCATAGGCGCCCTGATGGCATAGCGGGTTAGGAGTTGGGCTGCCAACCACAAGCTCGGCAGTTTGAAACCATTAGCTGCTCTGTGGGAGAAAGATGAGGCTTTCTGCTCTCAAGAGCTAGTCTCAGAAAGCTTCTAAGGCAGCTCTGCTCTGTCCTGTAGGGCTGTTATGAGTCAGAATTGACTTGATGGCAGTGGGTTTGGTTTGAGTCATTACCTCGATATTATTTCCCGCTACTATTTTTGTCCTTTTAGAAAGGATGTTAATACAAAAGAAGAAGAAATAGAGAAATAATCCCTCAAACAACTTCTATGCCTTCAATACAGTTCCCTGAAATGTAAGTGCACTTTCGTTACCGGTGGTGATGAGCTCTTCAGAAGAGAAGAGGGAACACCAGGTGCCTGATGCCGACCCCATTCTCACTTCATGAGTGGGAAGCGCCCAGGATGCTATACAATCTCCGCAGTCTTTAGCCATGCGCTGTGTGGTGCGCTGGCTCTGCCACCTCCCTCTGACAGCCTACGGGGAGAAGCAGGGCTTACCGACGGACGCGCCTGCGGACAGGAGCAACGCTATAAACACCCTGAATCAAGTGAGTGGGAAGCCACACCAGGGAACACATTTTGGAGATATATATATATATATGTTTGTTTTTAAAGAAAGCCATCTGAGTGCAGTTCCTAAAATGTTAAATGATGGATCATGCTTTACCTTTGGTAAATATCTCGCTTCTTACTGGCATCTAGAGCTCCTTTCGATTGGCCTTCAGAAAGCAAACCATCAACCTACGACAGACCATCATCATGTTAAATATCAGATCACCTTAGAAAGTACAAGATTAATTTTCTGTTTTCTCAATATTTGATCATGCTTGATTCCACTTGGGGTGTTCACCTAGAGTTTTAGTATGGATTCTACCAATACCATTTACTACACCTGTGTGATCACTTACTTATCCTTTTCTCTGTCTAGCCACCAACCTATCTTATTTTCATGCATTTCAAAGTGAACTGCAGTCATCAATACCTTTCCCCCTAAATAATTGTTACAAAATGGAATCTACCCACAATAAAATGTACAAATCAAAGTGTGTATTTTCTGTGTTTTGACAACTGCAGACACCTGTGTGAGCCAAATGCCTTTCAAGACAGAGCAGTACCACTGCCCCAGAAGGTTCCTTCGGCCCCTGCTAGTAAATCCTCATTCAGTTCCTCCTGTTCTGATCCTCGGCTGCCATGCCTTAGATTTGGCCTGTTTTGAAGCGTGTGATCATTGGGATTCACACATGGTGTACTCGTCTGGGCACTCCTTTCACACTGCATGTCTCCGGTCTTTCTGCATTGCTGCGTGTGTCACCTTCATTTCCATACTTGCTTTTCCCCAAACAGTACACGTAACCTGGCCAAGAAACACACAGAAGGGCACATACTTCTTTTGGGTCGCTTTTCTACACGTATGTAGAAAAGCTAAAGTGGGTGAAAAAGGGAATGAGGCTTGACTTGTTTCTGCACCACTTTTGCCATTTGGCATCCTTTAGAGTGTTATTTTCAAAGTTCACCCACCGATGACACCGACTCGGCACAGGCAGGACCCAGGTGAGCTTTTGATTTTTTATCTCGCAGATACCAAATTGAAAATCTCTCTCTCTTTTTGTTTTCAGGTGTCCTCTGTGGGGACAGAGGGATATCAGCTAACCATGTCAAGGAATTTGCAGACATTTCTAAGTATCAGACTACTCCTGAGTCTACCCTACTCCTGGTTGAATAATCCTCATAATTTCTTTGTTTCGTATTTACTTTAATAAACATTCATATTTACTACTTAACGGTTTTCTGGTTCTCCTGATGTCCCCTTAAGTTTAAAATTAGATACAGAATCATACAGCAAGTCTGGCCACAGCTCAGCATAACAGGAGCCAATGCCCCATCAAATGTCATTTTTATTTTTACCACAGGAGGATTTTGTTTTTGTTGCACCACTGTAATTCCAATCCAAATTCAGGTAAGAAATCCATATCCCTCAAATACTTTGCACTTTTTAAGTGAAAGTCCCAAACTAGATAAAACAGGGGCATTCCGTAGAGCTTATGGCTACATTATACAATACATTTATTTTATGGCAACATTTGGTGATCGATCAAAATTTCTAAAAAAAAGTAGAGGTAATAAAATAAAATGAGAATTTCAAGAAATATATGAACAATCCACTAAGCTCCACTTACATTTCTTATGTTTAAAGCAATACACATTCGGTGATCAAAAATTTGAAAATATCAAACAGTACACAGAGAAATATAATGGTCATCAGCATGCTCACACAGAGATCCTATTTTGGCCAGTGTCCTGCCATCTCTGTTCTATGTGGAAATAAATTTGTTGAGTCATGGTATATGCATGTAAGCTTATATAGTTTTCCAACCTGACGGTTTATTACAAACATTAAAGTCTCTTTACTATCAAATTTTGATCGAAGAATTCTATCTCCATATATCTATCTACTTCTCTACTATTAATCATTCTTTTTTTTTTTAAACATTTTATCAGGGGCTCATACAACTGTTATCCCAATCCATACACACATCAATTGTGTAAAGCGCATTTGTACATCGTTTCTCATACTATTAATCATTCTTGTTGTTCTCCATTTCTTCTGCTCTCGTTCTTTTATTTTTCACACTATCATTTGCATTGTATTTGTTTGGGGGGGTATGTTTTCCCTGGGGCAGTTTCTGAGTGCGGGAAAGAGGCACATGTATGTTACAGCTGAAATGCAACATGGGGCTGTATCTGCAGCATTGCATGAGGGAGATGCCTTATAAAATATTGCTGATAGCCCTCAGGAAACACCCCCATCACCCAATATTTCCTGTAGACCTATAACTAGAATTAAGTCTCAGAAAGTTCCTAAAGGTGAGGTTCAGATGATGACTCAGAAAGAAGTAAGCTCAGGGTGGGTAAAGGGAGAATGGGTAGGAAAGAGGGAACCGATTACATGGAACTGTGTGTGACCTCCTCCCTGGGGGACAGACAATCAAAAAGTGGATGAAGGGAGACGTCGGACAGGGCAAGATATGACAAAATAACCATTTATAAACTATCAAGGGCTCATGCGGGAGGGGGGAGCGGGGAGGGAGGGGAAAAATGAGGACCTAATGTCGGGGGTTTAAATGGAGAGAAAATGTTTTGAGAAACAATGTACAAATGCGCTTTACACAATTGATGTGTGTATGGATTGGGATAACAGTTGTATGAGCCCCTAATAAAATGATTTTTTTTTTTAAAGAAAAAAAAAAAAAAAAGAAAGAAGTAAGCTATCCTCATAAAGATCTGCTCGAGTTTTTCTAATACGTACCAGCAGAAGCCTGGGGAATAGCCCTGGGAATGGTTACTAAGGGTGTGGGACACTGGTGCAAGGAATGTACCATTAAACCAGTCTGAGTTTCTTGATATGGGGCCCTAAGAAGAGATTCTTCCTTCAATGTCTCAGCAAGCGAGGTTAAGACAGGATCTAATTGCTTACTTGGTTGGTTCACTGAAGCATGGGCTGCCAGATGGCCTAGATTAGACCAACTTGAGGTACCTGACCTACCTTGGTACACTGTAGAAGAAGGCATACAAAAGCTTAGGGAAATTGGTATGTTGGAATGGATCTATCAGGATATTCCCATAGACCCAAAAAGGGAGTATCTTGAGGACACACTTTTCACCACAACCATAAGGAACAAGTTTGTGAAGTGGCCCCAGCATCTCTGAAGACTCCCGTGATGCTATTTTATGTGCACCAGGATTAACAGTGGGAAATGCCCTCAGTGAACTCCAACATTTGCCTACAATGGGGCTAATTGGGCCCCCGTGGTGGTAGAGGGCGGGTGTCAGCATTGAATCAACAGATACAGGTGGGCGTGGTTATCCTAATGCATAGCAAAGTTTCTATAGTAATCAGAGCAACAAGTCTCCTGTGGACTTATAGCATTGGCTACTTAGCCACATTGTCCCTAGGACTGAAATACGTGGGAAATCTACTAAATATTTACGTGATCTATACAGGCAGAAGAATGCTAGATCAGGTGAAGGGCAGTTCAACTCAAGTCACCAGAATAGAGAATCACAATGCTTCAATCAATCACCAGACCTGAACCATTTTACAGACCCGCAACCCCTGAATGAGGGAGAATCACAATGCTTCAATCAATCACCAGACCTGAACCATTTTACAGACCCACAACCCCTGAATGAGGGGGAGGCTGGATCCCTTTGAAGGAGGACCCTGCTACATTACTGAAGGTTTATACTGTTAGTCTTTCATCTAGCCTTCCCCAAAGGGACCCGGGGCCTTTCACAAGAGTGACTGTTCACTGGGGGAAAGGAAATAAACCTTTCAAGGATTACTGGGCACTGGCTCTGAACTGACACTAATAGCAGGTGACCCAAAAAATGTCAAAGGCCTGCCAGTCAGACTGAGCATATGGAGGTCAAGTTATCAATGGAGTTTTAGCTCAGGTACACCTCAAATGGACCCCCGAACCCATCCTGTGATTATTTCCCCAGTTCCAGAATGCATCATTGGAACAGACATCCTTAGTAACTGGCAGAACCCCCACAGTGGATCCCTGAAATGTGGAATAAGGGCTATTATGGCAGGAAAGGCCAAGTAGACATCATTAGAACGTCCATTGCCTAGGAGAATAGTAAACCAAAAGCAATACCGTGTTACTGGAGGGATTGCAGAGATTAGTGCCACCATCAAAGACTTGAAGGATGCACAGGTGGTGATTCCTACAACATCCCTGTTTAACTCACCTATTTAGCCTGTAAAAAAAACAGATGGATCCTAGAGAATGACAGTGTTTATCATAAACATAACCAGGTGGTGACTCCAATTGCAGCTGCTGTTCCTGATGTGATTTCACTGATTGAGCAAATTAATACTTCTCCTGGTACTTGGTATGCAACTATTGATCTGATCAATGCCTTCTTCTCAATACCAGTCTCGAAGGACCACCAGAAGCAGTTTGCCTTCAGCTGGCAGGGGCAACAATACACGTTCACAACTCTCCCCCAGGGGTACATCAACTCTTCTGCCCTGTGCCATAATTTAGTCTGAAGGGAACTTTATCACCTGTTTCTTCCACAAAATGTCACACTAGTCCATTAAATTTATGACATTATGCTGATTAGAACCACTAATGAGGATGTATCAAAGAATCTAGAGTCTAGATTCATTGCTACAACATCTGTGTGCAAGAGGGTGGGAAACCAACCCAACAAAGATTCAGGCACCCTTCACCTCAGTAAAATTTCTAGGGGTCCAGTGGTGTGGGGCATGTGGAGACATTCCTAGTAAAGTGAAAGATAAGCTAGTGCATCTGCCCACATCCCCCAACAATTAAAGAGGACGCACAACACCTAGTGGGCCTCTTTGGATTTTGGAGGCAACATATCCGTCATGTGGTGTGCTCCTCCAACCTACTTATCAAGTGACATGAAAGGCCTCCAATTTTGAGTGGGGCCCAGAACAAGAAAAGTCTCTGCAACAGGTTCAGGCTGCTGTGCAAGTTGCTTTGCCACTTAGACCATATGATCCAGCTGACCGAATGGTGCTACAGGTGTCAGTTATAGATAGAGATGCAGTGTGGAGTCTTTGGCAGGCCCCTATTGGTGAATCACAGTGTAGACCCTTAGGATTTTGGAGTAAAGTCGTGCTATCCTCTGCAGACTACTCCCCTTTTGAAAAACAACTGTTGACCTGTTACTGGGCCGTTGTGGAGACTGAACGCCTCACCATGAGCCACCAGGAGGCCTGAGCTGCCCATCATGAACTGGGTACTGTCTGACCCACAGAGTCATAAAGTTGGACGTGCATAGCAACAGTCTATCGTTAAATGGAAGTGGTATATAGGTGATCAGGCTAGAGCAGGACCTGAAGGTACAAGTAAGCTGCATGAAGAGGTGGCCCAAATATCCAGTCTCCACTCCTGTCACAGTACCTTCCTTCTCCCAGTCTGCATCTATGGCCTCATGGGGAGTTTCTTATGTCAAGTTGACTGAGGAACAGAAAATTCATGCTTGGTTTACTGATGGCTCTGCACAATATGCAAGTACCACTTATAAGTGGACAGCAGCAATACTACAGTCCCTTTCTGGGATCTTCCTGAAGGACAGTGGTGAAGGGAAGTCCTCCCAATGGGTAGAACGTGGAGCAGTACACCTGGCCATTCAGTTTGCTTGGAAGGATAAATGGCCTTCGCTGGATGGTCAGAGAATTTGAAGGAACATGATTGGAAAATTGGTGACAAGGAGATGTGGGGAAGAGGTATTTTAATAGACCTCTCTGAATGGGCCAAGAAAGTAAAGATAATCATGTCTCATGTGAACGCCTACCAAAGGGTTACCTCTGAAGAAGAGGGCTTTACCAATCAAGTGGATAAGATGACACGCACTATGGAAACTAGTCCTCCTCTTTCCTCCACCACTCCTGTCATCGCCCAATGGGCACATGAACAAAGTGGACATGGTGGCAGGGATGGAGGTTATGCATGGACACAGCAACATGGATTTCCACTAACCAAGGCTGACTTGGCCACTGCCACTGCTGAGTGCCCCATCTGCCAGCAGCAGAAGCCAACATTGAGTCCAAGATATGGGACCATTCCTCAGGGAAATCAACCAGCAACCTGGTGGCAGGTTGATTACATAGGACCACTTCCATCATGGAGGGGGCAGCACTTTGTTCTTAAATGAATAGACACCTACTCTGGATATGAATTTGCCTTCCCTGCATGCAATGCTTCTGCCAAAACTACCATTCGTGAACTTACAGAATGCCTTATCCACTGACATGGCATCCCACATAGCATTGCTTCAGATCAAAGAACTCACTTCACAGCAAATGCAGTGCGGCGATGGGCCCATTCCCATGGAATCCACTGGTCGTATCATGTTCCTCATAATCCTGAAGCTGCTGGCTTGATAGAACGATGGAATGGGCTCCTAAAGACACAATTACGGTGCCAACTAGGTGGCAACAACTTGCGGGGCTGGGCCAGTGTTCTCCAGGAAGCTATATATGTTCTAAACCAGCAGCCAGTATATGGTGCTGTGTCTCCAATAGCCAGAATTCATGGGTCCAGGAACCAAGGAGTGGAAACTAGAGCGGCCCCACTCACTATTACTCCTAGTGATCCACTTGCAGCATTTTTGCTTCCTGTCCCAGCAACCCTGTGTTCCTCAGGCCTGGAGGTCCTGGTCCCAAAGGAAGGAACTCTCCCACCCAGAAACACAGCACAGATTCCACTGAACTGGCAGCTGAGAATGCCCCCACCACTTTGAGCTCCTCATGCCTCTGGATCAACAGGTCAGGAAGGGTGTCACTGTACTGAGTGGTGTGATTGATCCTGATTACCAAGGAGAAATTGGACTGGTGCTACATAATGGAGATAAAGAAGAATGTCTGGAATCTAGGAGATCCCCTAGGTTGTCTCTTAGTACTACCATGCCCTGTAAATTGTAAATTACATCAACCCAATCCTGACATGACATCTAGTGACCCAGGCCCCTCAGGAGTGAAAGTCTGAGTCACTCCACCAGGCAAAGAACCACGGTCAACTGAGGTGTTGACCAAGGGCAAAGGTAATACAAAATGAGTAGTGGAAGAAGGTAGTTCTATCTATCAGCTATGACCATATGATTAATTGCAAAAGCAAGGTTTGTGATTGTATTTCTTCAGTATATGTGCTTATTGAATATTTTTCATGTACAGTCCTGCCTCCCTAAGCTCCCTAACTACTGACTTTTGCTGACCCACCCTGCTGTCTGTTGCCTGCGGGCAGACTCTGTCTGTCTTGCCTGAGGGAAGACTCTGAGGCTTGCTTCCTTGACCTTGGACCACTTACAGAAGTTGAAGGACTTCCAGTATATTAACCGTTGCACAAAAGTGAGTTGAACTGAGCCCTCTATACTGCTTTGTGAATGAATTAGCTGTTATATTCCTTCTCGCTGTATAAACCCATGTATCTAATCATGTGTCCTGGTTTTAGTTCTCTCTCGAGAATCCTGCCTAACCCACTATGATAGTCACGAAGGCCCTGGCCTAGTTGAAATGTGAGACGTGGCACCTGGAGTGCAGTGGGAGTTCCCCACTGGGCACATAGGCAGGGATACTCAACTGCTCCAGCAACAGGCGGTACCACTAACTCAGCTCCAGAGTGTCGACAAATAGCACGGACTTGCCCCAGTCAGTGAAAGCTTGAGCAGGGTACCGTATACAGAAGCAGAAATCTGTCTTCCTCCGTCTCACAGGCCACCTGAAGCTGTTGAAGCTGGTCTGGCCCTGGAGCTGGGCCTCTTGTAACTGGAGGATAACTGGTTAGTTCTCTGAGCACATACGTGTACATCCTCATCGTAAGTTGCTGCCATAAGAAACGCCTGGAAAGTAAACCTGGGCCAAGTGACAGAGAAGCCCGAGTTCTTCCTCAAAACCAAAGGGAAAATGGGTGTTCCACTTCACGCACCACCAGCAGCTCAAGCGAGGCACAAAGTTTCACACCGTGATGCTGCAGATGGCTTTATATGCGTGATGAGCCCCACCACTACACCTGGCTTTTCTTCCTGCAGTTCTCCGAGAGGCTGATTCGCCAGCAGCTGAGGCATTAGTCACTCAGATGTCCCGAGGACAGGAGGTCACCAGCTGTTGATTCACGGACTTTGCCTACTTAGCCTTGTGCTGGGCACAAGGACAAAGCCTCTCAAGAGTCTGTCCTATCACAGGGCCTGCCGCCTTCCTGTGGAACAGCAGCTGGAGCATTGGAACAGCATAGGTGATAGTCTTTCCCGGGCCTGTGTGGGTTGGAGCCAGGAGATCCCTCCCCTCCAGGGCTGGCGGGGTGGCCTTTTCTTGGATCAGTGGAGATCTTTGCCAGCCCGGGTCTGTGACCACCTGCAGGAGTCTGGGTTAACAGCCTGTGTGCTGAATGCCCAACACTTCACCCAGCATGCTGTTCAGTAATGACAAGTAGCTCTTGTACCACAATTAATACTGTCACAAACACTTTCAATCTCTTCTCAATTTTTTAAAAGTGTTATTACATAGGGTATAGTAAATAGTGGAGATGGAATGATCCAACCGAGGAGCATGCAAATTTGCTCCATGTTGTCAAACTGCTTTCCTGAAATGCTGGGTCCTAAACGTCCAATTCGGCATACCCTCCCCAGCACTGAGTACTGCGATTTCAGATCTTTGGTACATGTTTTTGCGATTACCAGATTCTCTTTGAAGATCACTTTTTTCATGCACAGCAATCATTTCTATTTCTTCTTTCTCAGTTTACGTTTTCTGTTTCTTACAACATTGAGACATCCCCCTGGGCACTTACTTCCTTTGAACTAACGTAAAACACAGGTGCCCTGGTGATGTAGTGGATTACACGTTGGTCTGCTAACTGCAGGCGCTCTGTTGGAGGAAGATCTTCGGCTGTCTGCTCCGGTAACGAGTTACAGCCTCGGAATCCTACAGGCGCAGTTTCACTCTAACCTCGGGGTCCCTATGACTGGACGGCAGTGAGGAATGTGAATAAAGCAATAATAGGATAGTCGCCGGAGAAAGGCTTAAAGGAATGGGTATGTCGTGGAGGGATCGGGCACAGAGCAGGGGTGGAAATGGTTATTGTGAAACGTGGAGATCTGGAGGCTAGCAGGGTGGCAGGAGTTGTTAGGACCGGCGGGAGGGCTAAGGGAGTGTTACGTTGATGATCATGCTTTCGGGAGTTTAGCCTGTGGTTGGGAATGCCAGGGATTGGAACTGGAGTTTGGGCGGGGATTTGTTGGGCTTAAGCTCCAAGGACTAGGGTGAGTAAAGCGCCGTTAAAGCCGTTGAACCTCCACTTTCAGCCTGCAGTCAGATCCCCGGCCGCCTTATCTCGCTGCGGAGCCCGATCATACCTGTTGTTTCAGCTCGCGGTTGCAGCGCTGCAGGGCCCGGAGCGGATCGCGCGGCCGCTTCGAGAGCATCCCGCTCCCCCAGCTAGGGCCACGCTTGTGCGTCGGGGCGCCGGTCGCCAGGGTAACGAACGCAGCGGCGCCCTGCGTGACGCCAGCGCTGCGCGCCCGGCTCCCGGCGCCGCCCCGCCCCGCCCGCTCGAGGCCGCGCGGGAAGCGTCGGGCTGAGAGTCTCGGCAGATCCCCTCCCGGCTCCCGCCTCCCCTGCCTCGGCCGCGCGCCTCGAACGCTGCTCACGGTCACTGTCCACGCAGTCGTGAGGATCTCCGCCGCCAACTTCAGTGGGTTAAACGCTTTTCCTGTCCGAACTACATGTCCCACAATACAACAGTATTACCTCCTTCTGAATGCTATTTCTGCTGCGAGGTCAGCGTTCAAAGCTACCGAGCTGCTCATCGGGAGCAAGGTGAGGTGTCTACTCGTGTAGAGCGACAGTCTCGGGAACCAGGGTTGCTGTAAGTCACGACCCAATGGCAGGGAGTTTGGTTTGGATTTTCTGTTATTGGTCTGCTAACCTATTTGTAAGACAGGCTTTGAACATCTTGAACGCCCATTAACTGGATGGTTCCTCATAAGGCCTTCCAGAACGTGGTTCCCGTGCCTACGCAAAGCAGGTGTGCGTTCACATTCGGCATAAGGCTGATGTTCCCTTTCTCTCTAGTTATGCACCTTCTTATAGCTTAAGCTCTGGGAGGACAATAATTGTTCTCTTCCCCCACAGCAAGTCTGTGCGGAACTTAGATATTTCACATGGATTCTTCATCAGCTGCCCCTGAACTGACTCATGGCTGCCGATGTGTGTCAGGAAACTGTGCTCTATAAGGTTTCCAGAGGCTCGTGTGTCAGCAGTGGATTGCCAGGGCTTTCTCCAAGGCATTCCTGTGTGGACTAGAACTCCCCAGTCTTCCTGCCAGCAGAATATGTTCACTGTCCACCACCCAACATTGACTCTTAGGGAGGTTTTAATGACATTTCCCTGAGTGGAACTGCATCTCATTCCCAAACTCTACTATCCAAAGATTATATCCATAAGACTGATATCTGAGCTCACCTTCCAAACGATGAGCCACACGAACAAAAATGGATGTGGAGTGCATCTGTTGATTGTACCAGGCAGGCTGCCTTGCTCCCTACAAGATGCATTACATACAGTGTCTGGCTTACTGAAGGTTCTCAGGGAAATGATCCTCATGCATCATCACCCAGAAACATTAACAGCACCTTAGTAGTCTTCCCCTCTCAAGGCCCCTACTACCTCATCACCAGCGAAGACGAACACTCCTGTAACTTCTAACAGCCACATTTTGTTTTGCCTAATTTGGGGACTGTATCCTGAGACCAGGCATTGTATACTCATGCCTTCAATCACCATCAGGCAGGAGATGCATCTGTATTGCAGGTGGTTGCAGTTTATCTGTGTGTGATACGCCTTAATGTGGTCACTTTTTCTACTCTTGCTGTGCATCAGGGTCGCTCAGGGTGATGGCTTATGTCAACTAGACCCTCCTGGGTGAGGGTAGAGGTGAAGCCCAACCTAACAGGTTGCAGCCTGCTACCTCCTTGGGGCTATACCTTTTGTATGAGAAAGCCCCTAAGAGAGGGGAGCGCTCTTGCCCTTTCACCCTCTATCTTGCACCTGGTTCATCACCTGCCCATCCCAGGAACCCTCTGAAGATGGCAGCCATTAGATTAATTTACCTCGGCACCCACCAAGCTGTGGACCTAATGCTTTGCCATCTTGCTTCCTAGGGGTCAGTTTCCACAGCTATGAGTTGGGGAAGCCTTTGGCTTACAGCTGACCTATAAACTGGAACTACAACGATGTAAACCATGTCTTGATATAAATCTTTCTATATATATACATATGCATACATGTGTCACTGGTTTCGCTTCTCTAGGGGACTCAACCTCACAGGTCCAGTTTACTCACTGCCTTTGAGTCGAAGCTATGCATAAGGTTTTCAGTGGCCTCCTCCACCAAAGTGGGGAATAGAGTCCTTCTCTGTTGGACATTGAATAATGAAGCCATAGAAGAATGGAGGCGTTTGAGCTGCAGTCTGGAGAAGAACAGTAAAAGTGCCATAGACTGCTAGAAGGACAAACCAGTCTGTATGGGAAGACGTAAGGCCAGAGTGCTCCTTAAAGGGAAGGATGGCAAAACTTTATCTGACAGACTTTGGACGTCAGGAGAGACCAGTCTCTGGAGAAGGATACCATGTTTGGTAAAGAGGAGGGGTGGTGAAAAAGAGGAAGTCCCTCAACGAGGTGGAGGGGCACTAGCTGCATCACTGGGCCCAGGCATAGGAATAGTTGTGAGGATGGCACAGGACTGTGCAGATTTGCTCTGTCGTGCACAGGATCACCATGGGTCAGAGCTGACTCGATGGCACCTACCAACAGTGAGGCAATGCCAACTCATAGTGACCCTGCAAGGCAGAATAGAACTGTCCCTGTGACTTTCTGAGATGGCAACTCTTTACAGGAGTAGAAAGCCCTTTCTCCCATGGAGCAGCTGGTTTCAAACTGCTGACGTTGCAGCTCACAGCCCAACACATAACCACTCCCTCGCACCCAGTGTAGGCTATTATAACACTGCTAAGAACATTCAGGCACATCTCTTAGTGAGCAAAACTAGGTCACAGGACAAGTTTATTTTCAGCCTCATAAGGTATTACTTAGTTTCCCCAAAGTGATTAGACTAATTGACATTTACCAGCAAGCAGCCCATGAGTTTTTGTTCTTCATATTCTTAATTTTGAGTACTGTTTAGCTGGATAGCATCAAATTTTTTTTCCCTGATGCAAAAGAACTTCTAAGTTAAATCAAAAGGCTTATGTTTTTTTCTTCTCTTCCCTCCTCCTTCCCTTTCCCCTGCCCCCAAACCATTGAAATGTTTTTTGTGGTATGCAAACTTCTCATCTTGATTTTCCTTAAAGGTAGCCTCATGCAATATTTGTCTTTGTGATTAATTTCACTCAGCATATACTCCAGTATACCCACATCATGAGATGACATTTTTTCATCATTCTTCTTCAGCAATGTGTAGTACTGCCTTCTTCGTGTTCTTGCTAACATTTGATATTGTCTGTTTCACTGTGGCTCACAACTGTATTTTGAGTTCATTTCACCAGCTGCTATGCTGGAAGACTGGGGCTTTATACTTGTGTAAAATGTTGCCCACAGAGGCAGTTCTACCTTGTCCTATTGAGTTGGCATTGACTGGCAGAGAGTCTGTTTGTTTTTGGAGGTTTGGGGGTCCATATGACTCTGTTATTTGGCACTAAGGACAAAATTCCCATTTAAAATGTTTGTAACAACAAACAAAATTAATGAGTGCTTTAAAATGTGTTAGGAACCGTGGTGGCCCCTTGGGTCCGACAGTAGGGTGCTAACCAAAACGATGGTGGCCCATACCCATTAGCTGCACCAGGGGAGAAAGATGAGGCTGTTTTTCCCCATAAAGATTTACTGCCAAAAACAAAAAACGATGTCCTGGCTCAGAACCCTAACTTCTCCTCTGATCTACAGGGTTGCTATGAGTAGGGACTGAGTCCAAGGCAGGGGGTGTGGTTTTTGTTTGGCTACCCATCTTTTTAATGGGCGGATGAATAAAGCAAGGCCGTAGAGGAGTCAACTTGGAAAGGACCAGAGCATTTTCTCTTCTGAGAGAAAAGCTGATGAAACAGAGGACAAAAACCAGTGGTTTTCAAAAACCTCAGCTGAGCGTCACAGTCACCTGGGAAACCTAAAAAGCTCTACTGCCCAAGGCAGACCCTAACCTACATAAACCAAAATTCTTGGCAGTAGGATGCAGGGATTGGTGCTTTTTACAGCTCTATAAGGGGTTCTAATGTCCAGCCCCGTTGAAAACACTGCTGTAGGCAGAGCTATTGTGTCCATGATGGAGATGAAGGAACGCCTTCCTGATGCCCTTAATCTTCTCATATGGCAGATACTGATCCAAAAGTTTGTTCACAAATTCAAGGAATATGGAAAGACGCTGCTGAGAAACAAGACAGGTGCAGTTACCTTAGAATTAACTCATTTATAGTAGGCCAAGCGAGGAACATGAAGTGCCTGCCTCTGCTGTTTGGTGGCCCAAATGGAGGGCAATGACCGCGGTGAAGAGTAAAAGGACAGCAGGGATGAGCAGGGAGTCCAGGGTGACTGGTGAGGTGAACTGGAGGGTGGGACAACCAGTGGTCTGCAGAGTAGGAAATATGGAAGATGGAAGTTGTCCCCAGAGCAGGTTTCTCTTCTGAGACTAAAGAGGCCAAATACAATGTGACAGTGAGCTCTGGGCCTGTAGCAATAAGGTCTGGGGCTGGGCTGAACCGATGTGGAATGGGGCAAAAGGTGTTGGAGCCCACAACCATGTGAGGCAGAAAAGGCGATAAGGAAGGAAAGTAGAAGTGGGCCAGGCAGGCAGCTATTATGATCAAACAAGAGTGACATTTGGGGGATATCTCTTTCAATGAGTCAAGAGTATGTCTTTTCCAGGGTATATGACTGGCACAGTGGCCCCTGGCACCCAACCTAACAAGTGCCAATTTAGGCTAACCTGGAAAGGAGCATCTCCACCTATGGCAGCATTTTTGAACGAAAAACCAAATGCATTTAAACAGAGCAAGGGGCAGAAGGCTAGAGAAGAAACAGTTAAGTGCTAATGGAATCGCCCAAGTCTCATCACAGAGCAGAGACACACCCGTACAATACAAAGGCAGTCGGCAGAGGTAAAGATTATGAGTGGGATGGAGTGGCCAAAAACCACATAAAGGATATAGCCAAGACTTGGGGGTGAGCAGCACAGGCCCAGAAGAAGAAGGGATGACAGAAACATTGAAGTGAGACAAGAGTGGGGGTGGGGGTGAGTGTGTCGAGGTGCTGCAGAGAACTAGCAGAAAAGAAGGAATAACACTGGAAAGGCCAGCTCCATCAGGAAGGTAGAGGGGTACCGGCACAGGCCCAGACAGGCAGAAGTACAACACATCACAAGCCAGGGGCGTAGCCTGACACATTTCAACATTCTGGGTGTAGCATGTGCCTCAAGAAACCTACCTCATCTCAAAGCTCAACTATGAGCCTCTCAGTGTAGGATGGTGACTGGGAAGCTCCAGCAAACTATAGCCCAGAGGGGATGGAGCTCTGAGAGCCAACATGCCAGCCCTGGGGGCTGCATTCCCGCAGGAAAGTGGAAATAAGGCAGAGGGCCACAATGAAATGGAAAAAGAGCCTTGTGTGGAAACATCATTTCTGGATGCTCTGATGGTCACATGGAACTGTTAAAATTTACGGAGACCTCAATTTCCCACCCATTCCTTATTAGTTACAGGGCTCTACAAAGCATTCTGCCAACAGAATGAGGAAGGGACTTGGTCAGGCACTCTTGAAACTTAGATGTGGTTAGTATTTGATACTGAGTTCTCTTCAAGAGGGTTTTCCCACCATATGCATATCTTTCATAAAGGCGATTTTTGCCCATAAAAACTCATCCTCTGTACTTCAAATCGACTGTCATTCTCAGAAGTGTACAGGTCTTATGTACATCACCTCAACATTCCCAAAAAGGCCCAGGGCAGCAGATGACAAGAGTGGCCCAGAGGCCACTTGTGCTTTGTTTGTATTGAGAAAGCATACGTTTCAAAACACCAATATGCTAGCTTTGAGGAACCAGTTCTTTACCCACTAAGCCTGCTACATCTGTCTCCTATGGAGCGGCTGGTAGGTTCGAACCACTGACCTGGGTGCTAGCTGAGCACTTGAATGGCGGCACCACCAGGGCTCCACTGATCCAGTAAGTGGCAAGGCAAACAAGAAAACTCCATACTCCTCATCCTTTTGTAAAAAGGGTCTAAGATGTTTACATTTTTTATTTTATTCTAAAAATAAAATTGCTTCATAAAGTGCAAGAAGTATTTCTTTCCAGCCGTACTATATCCATGTATGACATGCTGTTGGAAACAAACAGACAAAAAAAAAAAAAAAAAAGGTTTAGAAACACAATTGCTAACCTCACCTTGATGTATTCTGGAATGAAAATATGCCCTAAAAGATCCTATGTTGCCAATAAGAAAGCCCAGGCCCTGAATGTTGTGATACACTGCCTTGTTGAAAAAGCTAACACTACCGGCAGGTTCCCCACCTGCAAGCCACTGCTCCTTCCCTTTCACCAGGCTGTCGGTAATGTTCCGAAGGAAAATGACAAACTATGCGCCCAAATGCGACACAGGACGCTATCAACAAGAGTGATCAGGAGAAAAAGTATACCAATGGCAGGTGCACATCCCACCACCATGACGGTTCGTCTTGTCTTTGCTCAACTCCCCCATTCTGAAGTTAAATGTTGTCAATGACACTCATAGGGACCCGCAGAAAGAAATACTGCCCGTGGAGCACCTTTAAAGGGGCGAGCAGCGAACAGCCAAGAGCAAGTTATTAAGGAAACCCAAACTTCTGGCTTTTTCTGGTGTCCATGGGGGGATGTCACCTATTGCAGCAAGCCCTCTGCCCACACATCCGCCCGGCCTCCAGTTCCAGGATACGTACTGTCCAGCGCCTCTCGGAGCAGAGCCGGCAGCGCGCGGTGTGTGCGGCGAGCCGGGCTCGGGGCGCCAGGCCACAGCACCGCGTGGTGACGGAAGGGGCCCGTGGGGACTGGCGGCGACGGTCTCAGGCTAGGTCCAACTTCTTCTGTGTCACCGCCAGCTTGTCCTGCAGCCTCTTCTTCCTCCAGTCCAAGTAGCGCCTCCGGAGCCGGTTCGCTTGCCAGCCCACGAGGATTCCGGAAGCAAACGCTACAAGCACGGAGAACTGCAGCGTCCTCTCCGACACGTCCGCCATCGCGGTCCTTCAGGACGCAGCCGGGCCGACGACAAGGGCGCAGGGTCACACGGCGCAGCGCGTTAGGGGGCGGGGCGGGTGAGGTCGGAGGGGCGGGGCGAGTGGTAGAGCTACCAATCAAAGGGGTCCTGAGGGGCGGGGTCAGAAACCATGCTGCTTGGTCTTACTCTATGTATTGTTGGACTTTAATCGGGTATTTCCCTGTGTTATTAGTTAAATTTGGTGGTATGTCTTTCCACACGATTCTAATTCCTTTGTGAGCAAGCCCCAGATCTCTTGCGTTGTCTCTAAGCAAGCCATATTTATAACTTAACGTTTTCTGGTAGCCATATTAAAATAAGCAAATGAATAAATAATAAACCCCACTGCCATCCAGTCAATTCGGACTCATAAGATCCCAGGGTTTCTGAAGCTCTACCTTACAAAGGGTGTAATAATAATACTAAAAATAAAATACATGGGTGGAAACAGTTTAATACACTTTAACCCTTTATATACATACAAACATAAGTCCAACGTGCAGTTTAAAAATTATTAATGAGAGTTAACTTTTTGTTTCACGCTATCGTGTCAGTGCTGACTCATAGTGACCCTGTTGGACAGAGTAGAGCTGTCCCCGTGGGTTAGGAGACCCTAACAGTTTATGGGAATACAAAGCCCCATCTTCCTCCTGCAGCGGTCAGACTGTTTCACTGTCAGCGAGTTGACTCAAACTCATAGCGACCCAACAGGACAGGGTAGGACTGCCCTTGTGAGATCCCCACAATGGAAGTCTTTATGGGGGTAGAAAGCAGCCAATGGTCTCAAACTGCTGATCTTTTTTTGTTGTTTTAACCCTTTTATTGGGGGCTCATAACATCCGATACGTCAATTGTATGAAGCATATTTGTACATATGTTGCCATCATCATTTTCTAAACATTTACTTTCTATTTGAGCCCTTGGTATCAGCTCTTTTTTCCCTCCCTCCTCCCCTGCCCCCCTTGATAAATTATAAATTATTATTGTTTTCATTTTTTGTTTTGTTTTGATATCTTATACCCACAGCTGCCTCCCTTCACCCACATTTCTGTTGTTCATCCCCCTGGGGGTGGGGATTATGCACTGATCATTGCAATTGGTTGCCCCTTCCTCACCTCCTCCCCCTACTTTCTCCCTACCCTCCTGGTATCACTACTCCCACTTCTGTTCCCGAGGGGTTTATCTGACCTTGACTCTGTGTGTGGTAACCTCTTATCTGTACTAGTGTACATGCTCTGGTCTAGCCAGAACTGAAAGCCAGGACTGGGGTCATGATCATTGGGGGGGGGGGCGGGGCTGATGCAACCTCAAAGAACCAGAGGAATATTGTGTGTTTCATACTGCGCCCTGGTTAAATCATCCTTTCTTGTGACCTTTTGTGAGGTGAGATCCTGTTGTCTTTAGATGGGTTTGGAGTCTCTGCTCCAAACCCCCTGGTTCTCAACTCTATGGGTTTTTATTGTTGTTTTGGATCTTCTGGTGTCTGTTAACTGATTCTGTCACCACCTCATGATCACACAGGCTGGTGTGCTTCTTTCATGTGGACTTTGTTGCTTCTCAGCTAGATGGCCGCTTGTTTATCTTCAAGCCTTTAAGACCCCAAACACTATATCTTTTGATAGCCGGGCACCATCAGCTTTCTTCACCACGTTTGCTTGTGCACCCATTTTGTCTTCAGCAATAGTGTTGGAAGGGTGAGCATACCAGAATTCCAGGTTGTTAGAACAAAGTGCTTTGTGTTGAGGGAGGGCTTGAGCAGAGGCCCAAAGACCATCCACTTCTTCAATGTATTGTCATATAAACATAGGTACATAGCCAATACCTCTATTTTTTTCTTAATTTTCTTTTGTTTTATAAATTATTTTATTGGGGGGCGGGATGCTCTTACAGCTCTTATAGCAATCCATACATCACTTGTATCAAGCACATGTGTACATATGTTACCATCATCATTTTCAAAACATTTTCTTTCTACTTTTTTAAAAGCATTTTATTGGGGGCTTGTACAACTCTTATCACAATCCATCCATCCATTCATGTGTCAAGCACATTTGTACATATGTTGCCATCATCATTTTCAGAACATTTGGAAACATTCTACTTGAGCCCTTGGTATCAGCTCCTCATTTGTTTCCCGCTTCCCTGACCCTCCCTCCCTCTTTACTGGGACAGAACAGAAAGCCTGGTCTTTCTCCAAGGAACAGCTGGTGGTGTCGAACTGTGGAGCTGATGGTTAGCAGCCCTGTGCATAACCCACTACAAAATTCCTCAGAAACATTCTCTTTTTCCCATACTTCATCCAGTCGTTTCTCAGCAGGCTTATCTTGTTGACTCTGTTTTCAAGATATGGTAAAAATGAAACCCCTTCTCACTACTCTATCTCTACCACCTTGTCCGAGCGGCCATCTCTCACCTGAATTACTTCAAGAACCCCTATGTGGTTCCATGCGTTTGTGTTTGTCCACCGCCTTCTGTTCTCCACACAGCACTCAAAGTAGAAGTCAGATCGTGTCATTCCTCTGTTAATACCCTGCTGTAGGCAAAGTGCTGTCAGCAGTCTGCAGGGCTCTGTGTAGCCCATGGCCCTCCTTACTCCTCTGCTTCTTGATCTCCTGGGGCACAGGGGTGCCTAGGAATATTTGAATATGCTGATCCCCTGCTTGGTAGACATTCTCCCTCCAGAGACCTGCATGGCCAGCTTCCTCACCTCCTTCATGTTTTTGTCAGCTTCCATTTTCCCCAGGAGGCCTCCCTTGACTATTAAAATCACAAACCCAGCCAGCTGCAATTCTCTGACACTCCTAAGCCCCCTTACCGAGTCCATTGCTCTCCTCTATACTGCTCACTGCCTTCTCACATGCTCCATGATGTGCGTATTATAAGTATCCTTTGTTATCTGTCCAACCCCTCTCCCCCCACCTCCACTGCCCAGATAAGCAAGAATAAGCTCTCCTGGAGCAGAGATTTTTTTTGTCTGGGTTGTACAATGGTGAATTCCAGGAGCTGGCACCTAACAGACACTTAATAAACATTTGGTATTGATGACCCCAAGGCTTCTGGGTGGATAATTGGAGTCGGAAGATCAAAAGAAAAGGGGCTACCTTTCTTTGGACCTCAGTTTCATCGTCTGTCAAAGATCAACACTGAGACATTTGAAAAAGCTATTTTGGGTGGCCTGAGGTTGTGTACGTTGGGTCAGGAAGGTTATTAAAAATATGACCCTCAGTTGGAATTCTGGCTTCATTCCTAAGTGACCTATGGCTGGAAAGAAACTAGGTCATGGACACTGGAGCCTTGGATGGGAGAATTGCAAACCCATGGTGGTAGCAGGGCTGTGGAAGTAAACACTGCTTATTTTACCAGGAGAAATAGAGCTGGGGAGAACGGACAGGGGTGGGGTGGCAACACGCGCAATCCCTCTTAAATCCCTCATCTGAGCCTGGTCATTTGCTTTCATGATACGCAGATCAGCACTCAAGTGAAAACTTAGAGGGAAACAGCAGTGAGGGATCTTTGTAGCTGAAGGAAGTGTTCCAAATTGGATGGTGCTGCTGGTTGCGCAGCCATAAGTTTACGTGAAACATTTTAACAGCAACAATAATAACAATAAATGCCCCAAATGAAATAGAAAGCTCTTGTGGAAACACCCATTTTCAAGTGTCCAAAGCCTATCGCTCTGTTGTTCAGTTCCCCATCTCCAGGACATTCCTGTGCAGATTCTAACTGTCTCAGAGAACTTTAACTCCCTCTTTAACTCAGAGAGATTGTCAATCTGAGTTTGCCTTCCCTGGAAATTCTCTCCAGGCAGGAAAGGGGAGTAAATGCAGTGTTGACCTCTTTATTCCCCTCAGTGGCTAGTGTTTATGCCTCGGTCAGCAGATTACTGTAGGGTCAACAGTTCAAAATCACCAGGAGCTCTATGTGAGAAAGAGGAGCTATTCTACTTGAGTAAAGAGTTAAGGTCTCAGAAACTCAGTTCTCCCTGTCCTATAGGGTAAGGTGACCAGATTTAAAGCGGGACACCATTGACCAGGGGTGGGGAGGGGGTTGATTAAAAATTTGGTCTATATGGACCAAATAGACTGGTCCCTAGCTTGTCATGCATTCTTTCCAAAAATTGGGACTTTTTTAAAATGCCAAAAATCAGGTCTGTCCTGCCAAAAGCGGGACATCTGCTCACCTTACTATAGGGTTACTAGGAGTCATCACTGACTCAGTAACAGTGAGTTTGGTTTGGTGTTTCAGAGAGTACTAGTTCTGTGCTACCTGCTGTACCATGGCTGAAATTAGTGGTTTCATGTATTTTGTCAATTTTTAAGGGTTGTTTATTTTGTTAATCTGAGTTGACTAGACAAACAAAATTCAAAGACATTCATATGTATATAAGAAAGCTTTATATACAAGAGCAGTTTTGTATTGAGAAAACAACCCAATCAAGTCCATAAGTCCAATATTTGCCCATATGTCTGATACCAATCTATAAAGTCCTTTTCAGACTCATGAAACACATGCAATGACGCCGAATGCAGGAAGATCACAGGCCAGTGGATGGAAAGTCTTGTGGATCCAGTGGTGGTGTAAGCATCTCAGGGCTGGCAGGGGTCTCTATGTGACTCCTCCAGCTCAGGGCACTAGCAGAGCTCCATGTGTCTTATCAGCTGGAATGTCTCCCAGGGAGTCAACCCCTGTCCTGCCTCCAGCAAGCTATTTATCTCCTTAGGGTCCCCAAATGAGGTCATCAAGCTGGGACCTGATTGACAGGCTAAACTCCACCCCTTCACTCTTAATACTCAAATTGACAACAGATTATATAACTACTTCATTTATAGTGTGAGGGCAGTTTCTATGACTGCTCATTTCTCATGGGTAGACACAGTTATATATTTCATATGTCATAGTATGTGTATTCATTTAATCTCTGGCTTCCCTCCATAAGACTCTTAAATTCCATGAGAGCAGGGACTATTTTATTTCTCATCACCACTGTATCCTCA